CTTTGATTGTTGTATGTTGATTTTCAATGTTATGTATTTTACTCTGTCAGATTTGCTCTTGAGTATTTGTAGGTATGGAACCATTCGTTTTTGTATCAGAATTCCTACTCCTTCATTACTTCTATTATCACCACCTTTGCAGAATAGGACGTGATTTGATTTGAGTCCTAGACATTCTTCTCCACTTCTTCTGACTTCTGCCAGTCCTACTAAAGTGTGTTTTTTTTTTAAAGATAAAAGTCAAAATGACATTATGTTGGCAATACAATGTAAAATTGTCGATGCTTTCAATTTTTTTATGTAGAAAAGGCTTGTGTTGCCAACATAGTTACTAAATTTTCGACTTGGGGAATTATCTTTAAAAAAAAAACAGAGTTTATGTCCCAATTTATTCGAGTTCCTAAGTATAGTTGGCAGCCTGGTTGTTATGTTTTCAATAAATACTTCTATCTTTAAATGATGGATTATATTTAACTTTTAATAAAAGATGACAACAATAATGACTATCTATCATAATGACAATAATGACAACAACTGGTTATCCAGTTATATACAAAATACATAACAGATTCTCCGTCGCATATTATTAGGGCTACCTTGTTACGGTTTGTTAGGATAGTACGCGACGCATAACTGACAACGTAAACGTCGTCATTGGTTCAGGTATGACGTACACCCGTTTTCTGACGTCAGAAAACGGGTGTACGCTTGGTGTACGTCATACCTGAACCAATGACGACGTTTACGTTGTCAGTTATGCGTCGCGTACTATCCTAACAAACCGTACCTTTAATGATAAATAATACGAAATATGACAAATGCGCCAGATGCATGCGGTGGAATGCTTCCTTATTTTCGTAAAACGTCTCACGTCTCAGTGGTAGCGTCTTCTTGAACATTATCTCTCTCACTATTTTCACAAAAAGTAGGATTTGGACTTTTTGACGTAGAAGAAATTGGTTCATGCATTGATTGATCTTTTGACGTAGGAGGAACTGGTACAAACTCTGATTGAAATGGAACTTGATTAGAATTTTTTTTTTTTACGAGCGTGCGGGAAATGGCTCTTCCTGCACGATTTGCTGTGCGGGAAGACTTTTTTCCGGCACCAGTGCGGGAAGAGATTTCTTCCCGCACATCTCTTCCCGCACTTAGTGCGGGAAGACTTTGAAATAATCATTATGACATGGAATTGTTTGTATTGTTGATACACCTATACCTTTACCTTTGATACCTTTACCTTTTTTTTATAAATACCTTTCAATACATTTTTAATTCTACCTTCTGCACAATCGCATTTTATTTAAATTAAACTTCTCGTAACATCAGCTTTAGTATGCTCGTAGAAAAAATATAGTTCCTAACTCTTGCGGGAAGAAATTTCCGGCACTCGGGCGCTTCGGACCCTCGTGCCGGAAATTTCTCTTCCCGCACTCGTTAGGAAAATAGCTATTCTGAATTTCTAGATAAATTTAAGTTTTTTGATGTACTAGCTACTGATTCCGATTGAATAGGTACTAGTGGAAAATTTCTTGTTGTCGAAACTACCGGTATACTATTATGTGAAGTCGGTATATTTCTTTCTAAAATTTTGTTTTTTCTTTCAATAATTGGAGATTGTAAAATAAAATGCGAATTTTTAGAAGTCTCGTTTCTTTCAGTTCTTTTTTGTATTTAATTCTCTTCGGGAATTTTGTCTATTTGGCATGTTCTAATTTGATTGTAATGAACTTTTATAGTATATCCGTCATCTAATTCAATGATATAGTGAATTTTCCCCAAACGCTTCGAAATTTTCCCGTTTTCCCATATTACTGATCCGCTATAATTGCGTGATTGTACTCTATCTCCTGGATTATATAATTTAATCTTTGAATTATTATATTCTTGTTCTTCTTTTTCTCTGTTATTGAAAAAATTGGGTCGAATGAAGTCTAATTTAGTTCTAATTCTTCTTCCATGTAACATTTCAGAAGGTGATTGTCCAGTTGCTAATTGAGTAACTCGATATTTTACAAGGAATTTATGTAATTTTTCATCAATTGTTTCGCAGACCTATCCTCTACGAACAGCAATTACATAGCAACCAGCAACCGAGTCGCAGTTGCTTTTTTAGAATAGAAAAAACGCGTTTGACAGCGACAATTAGGCAAGTTACAGAATAAGCTGGCCGGTATCATTAATCATACGGTTTAACTTTGATTTAAGTGTTTGACAATATCTTTCAGCTTGTCCATTTGTGGCAGGGTGACGAGGAGCAATTAAACGTTGTTATATACCATTACGTTGACAACATTCTTGAAACTCTTTTGATTTAAAAATTGATGCATTATCGCTCACAAGAATTTCTGGTGAACCGTGTCGACTAAAAATTTCTCGAAGATGTTATTGTTCCTGATGAAGTTGGTATATTTTTTGACATGGACTTTGAATCCACAACAATAAAAAAGTAATTATTCAGAAAAGGTCCAGCATAATCCATATGAACTCTTTGCCAATTTTTCTCTTAGAGGTTCCCATTGATGAACTGGTGCCTTAACAGGATTTTTTTGTATATTACAACCAGGTAAACAGCTTTTGACGGTATTTTCAATATCTGCATCAATTCCCTTCCAAAAACAATAATTTCAAGCAAGTGCTTTCATTTTCACAATTCCAATATAATATGTTGAATCCAACTCTTCTGGTATTATTGGTTGCAAGCGTTTAGGTATTATAACCCATTGTCCTCGAAGTAGAATTCCTTCGTCTATTGATAATTCTGGATCTCTGCAGGCCTATTCTCTACGAACAGCAATTACATAGCAACCAGCAACCGGTCGCAAGTTGCTTTTTTTGAATAGAAAACTCGCGTTTGACAGCGACTTGACAGCGACGATTGAGCAATTCTCTGCGGTCGCAAGTTACAGAATAAGGCTGCTGGTTTTCCCATTGAATAGATTATATTTAATTTCTGATAATTCTTGAGCATTTTCGGTTTCTCGTACTACTTGCTATATCTTCGGCTGTTATTTCTCCATTGGTTATTTGATTTATAGACATATCTTTTAAAATATATTCTTGATGTGTGAAAGTGTTGTCTTTTTCTTTCAATGGTAAAGGATTTCTTGATAGTCAAGATATCTATGTTCTTGAGACCTTTTCTATTCAATAATTGAACCCAGACAAGAATTGTGCATATCTAAGTAATCTTGTTGCAGATAATAGTGGAAGTTGTTTCGAAGGATTGAATATTCTCATGAGGAGTTTGTTATCTACTTCTACTACTAATGTAAACTTTTTTCCATAGATATTTTGGTACATTTTTTTGAAAGCCTAGTGAATCGCAGTTGCTTCTTTGTCTAATTGGCTATAATTACTCTCAGTTTTCGGTAAAGATCTTGAAATGAACTTAAATGAAGGCAACTGGTCTTAATTCTTCACTAGGAAGACGATAAGATAAAACTGCATTCAGCCCAAATGGACTGGCATCAGTGGCAAGAATTATACGCAAATCTGGGGAAAACGGTATAAGAAATCTCTCATTGGATATTTGATTTTTAGCTTCTGTCGCCTTCTGTGAAGGATTGTTGACATTTTTTTGTCCATTGGAATTTTACATCTTTCCTTAGAAGCCTGTTTAATGGATATAAAATTGTAGATGCATTAAGAATGAATTTTGAATAATACATAGGTTACCTAAAAACTGTTGAACTTCTTCCATTGTTTTAGGTTGTGGCGCTTCTAAAATAGGTTTAATTTTGTCATCTGATCATTTTTACAGGCCGTTTTCACTATTTATAAAATCTAAATATTTAATTTTCTCTTCAAAAAATTTACATTTATCTTTATTCAAATGCATATTGTATTTTTGTAGTTTCTCAATGACTTTTACTAATCGAAATTAACATTCTTCTAATGTGGATCCTTGGACTAGGATATCATCAGAATATGCAATGCAATGGTACCATTTAGATCTTATATAATTTCATCAGTAATTTGATGAAATATATTTGGAGCAGTTTTAATTAAACAATCTTTTTGCCAAATACGTTCCACGATGAGTTGAAATAGCTTGTGTTTTTGCACTCTTTTCATCGACAGCAATGTGAAGATATGCTTTAAAAACATCCAATGTTCAAAAATATTTACCATTCTTCATTTTGTTAAATAGATTTTCAATTCTAGGAATTGAATTGGAAAACGATTTCCCTCTAATTGATGATTTATCGTTACTTTATAATCAGCACCTTCCCTTAGCTTTAGGTACAATAACTAGAGGTGTACCTCCCTCTGAGTGATCAATCTTCTCGATAATTTCTTGGGCTTCAAGAGAGTCTAATTCTTTATCAACTTCTTTTTCAAGAGCGTATGGAATTCGTCGTGGTTTGATAAATACAGGCTTGGTATTATTTTTAAACTGTAATGAACATTCCAAATTGGTTATTTCCCACCGTTGAAAAACGTCATCGTATTTAGCAACAATTTCATTTATAATAGCTTGTCTTGAACATTATATATTAGAAACATCATTCATATCTATTTTAAGAGCGCGAAGCCATGTCCTACCAATAATAGGATTTTCATAATCTGGAACTACATATAGGTCACCAATAAATTGAATATTTTTGTATCTTACAGATATTTGATCCATACCAAGAGGTTTAAACATGCGTTTTGTATATGATCTGACACAAATGCATGTTGATTTCAAGGATCTTTTTATTTTCAAAATTTCTAAATCTTTTTTTGGAACAATAGTAACTGGACTGTCTGTATCACATGTCAGTTAAATGGTTTATCATAAATATCTACTTCAAAATACATTTTAGGTTCATAAATAGAAGACGATGTTTCTGTAAATACATCAAGTATTTGGTTTATTGAAAAATCTGAACGATCAGAAGGATTTGAGTATAATTTCCATTCAAACTTTCAACTGAGCGAAGTTTTGACCAAAAAGATTCAAATCCAGCAGATTTTATTTAATATATTTTTTCTAAAATGTGTATTATTTTTAGGTTGCCGAGTGTCAAAATGAAGGTAGAGAATGTATAATGATCACTAGTGGCGCTGTAGCTTTTGGTAAACAAAAACTCACCCAAGAACTGCTCATGTCGCTATCGATGAGAGAAACTCTATCGCCCACTGACCATACAAGAGAAGCTGCTCCAACACTATTGGAGCCTAGAGCTGCAGCCGCTGTAGGCCAATCGGGCCTTATGTCCCTTTATGATGCTATGTTCTCTCAATACGGAGTCAAGATTGCACAAGTGCTTGTAACTAAAGCTGATTTTTACAATGAGGATACTAGGAAAACGCTTATTAGTACTTTGTCTGAATTAATCAGTTTGAATATTGTACCTATTATTAATACTAATGATGCAGTTTCGCCACCACCACAAGTTGACGAACCAATCTTTGGTAAATATTTATTTCATAAATGTCTCAATTTCCTAAAATATTTAAATTTCACAGATCGACCTGGTAAAAAAGGCATTTCTTTACATGACAATGACTCTTTAGCAGCTATGTTAGCATCAGAAGTACAATCTGACCTACTTATTCTGATGTCCGATGTTGATGGTATTTACAATAAACCCCCATGGGAACCTGGTGCGAGATTCTTGCACACTTTCTCATCAGAGCAAAGACAAACTATCGAATTTGGCAAAAAGAGTAAAGTAGGTACTGGCGGTATGGACTCTAAAGTGAATAGCGCCATATGGGCCTTGGACCGAGGCGTGTCTGTCGTTATCTGTAACGGTACTGCCAAAGAAGCCATAAAGACTATTTTATCTGGCAGGAAATTGGGCACCTTCTTCACTGATTCTGCTAATGTTGGAACATTGCCTACAGATGTCGTTGCTGAAAATGGTAAGCATTATTAATTAGAGAACTAAGTATGGTTTTCACCAAGAAATCTGAGAGATTCTAAACAAATTAGCACTACCTATTGAATAAATATGTAAAATCTAGATGAGGAACCTAAACAAACCAAAAATTAGATATTTGAACATTTAAGTTTCTTGGAGTATAGCTACGTATCATTCACCTGTTTCAGGTTCTATCACTTTTTGGAAAGAATTGTTACAAATATTTCCTAATTTTCCATCATTTTTCAATTTTCTAGCTTCATTATAAACTTGTAAAAATTTTGCGTATGCTTTATTTTATTTGATGGATATCTTTGATGACGCTCTTTTGACTCTCAAATGTCCTAATTTCATGGATTTCAATTTAGGTACCATACATTCTGTCCTGGTATGATTTCTGTTTGTAGCGTTTCAGAAGGAGTCAATGACAAAATCAGCACAACTTATGTTAGTGGGATGACTAAGAAGCGGATTTATATTTCATCATGATACATAAGTTTCCTAACTACCTTTATGTTTCCGGTAATAAAGAAACCGTTTTTAAAAAATTAACTTTAATTAAAAATTACAAATTCAAAAATAATAAAGCAAAAATACGTGTGAACAGCTCAAAGTCTATGTCTAATCTAAAAGTTAAAAGTTTATTCGCATGGGGCATCCTGGTTTCAAGCTTACACAGTTCTCAAGAAACTGCTTAGGTCGGCGATGCAATGGTCAGCATGTTCCCACGGATGGCACACATAACTCTACTGTCCTAACTACTCTATTGCTATAATCTGGTCTCATCTCTTTATTTTTTTTGTAGTTTAATAGCATACATACTTACCTACCTAGGTATATTTTTTACATTATACATTATAAAATATCTACTATTTAACCTTCCATCTCCATCATCCATCATCATCATAATGTCATAGTCCGTGCTTTCTAAAAAAAAATTGATTACTTACCTTACCTACTTACTTAGGTACTTCTCCACAAGTCTTCCTACTCTGAGCTTTGTCCCTAATCTGTTATAGACTGGTGTTTACTGTTTTTAGCATACTATAATTCTAAAGCATTATATGCCTATCTCTAGTGACTAGTAGGTTAGTAGGTATCTAATTCTAATAGAGCTACCTATATCTATTTCTATCTATAACAATTTATAAGACAATTTACTCTCGCATTACCTACCTTTAAAAATATTTTCTTTTTGTTCAGCTCGTCTTGGTGGCAGAGTTCTTCAAACTCTAACTCCAGAACAAAGAGCGTCGTGCGTTCACACTCTAGCCGACCTCTTGGTATCCAAGCAAGCCCAAATTTTGGATGCCAACCAAAAAGACCTGAGTGAAGCCCAAAGCTCTGGCCTAGCCAAGCCACTTTTATCTCGCCTGTCTTTGACACCATCTAAATTGAAGAACTTGGCTGTTGGACTTAAGCAAATCGCTGATTCTAGTCATAATAACGTTGGAAGAGTTTTAAGGAGAACTAGGTAAGAATGTAAATTTTTTTTTTCTAGAAGAACATGATTATATTAATAATTATTATTTTAGGTTGGCTGATGGACTCGAGCTTAAGCAAATTACTGTTCCAATTGGTGTACTTTTAGTTATTTTTGAATCTAGACCTGACAGTTTACCACAAGTAGCTGCCTTGGCTATCGCTTCCGGAAATGGACTTCTACTTAAAGGTAAAATCGTAGCCTAAACTAATTAATGGTGAAAAAACGAAAATATTTTTTTTTTGTAGGTGGTAAAGAAGCTGCTCACAGTAACAGGGCTCTTATGGAACTAGTTAAAGAAGCACTGAGTACTGTTGGAGCTGACAATGCTATTTCATTGGTAAGTATTGTAAGTGTTTGAGCTTATTGAAGCCTAATATAAGGGTTTGAACTAGGTATCAACTAGAGAAGAAATAGGTGATCTCTTAACTATGGAACAACATATTGATCTGATTATCCCAAGAGGATCCAGTGACTTAGTGAGAAGTATTCAAAATCAATCGCAACACATTCCTGTTATGGGACACGCAGAAGGTATTTGTCACGTTTTCGTTGACAAAGATGCCGATTTGAAAAAGGCCCTTAAAATCGTCAGAGATTCCAAATGCGATTATCCAGCCGCTTGCAACGCTATGGAAACTCTACTTATCCACGAGGATCTTATGAGCACTAGCTTTTTCTCCGATGTCTGTGATATGTTGAAAAAAGAAGGAGTTAAAATTTACTCAGGCAAGAAAAACAGAATGTTTTTTGATATTTTACTTATTTCATTTGAATCGTTTTTAGGCCCAGCACTTAACCAGATGTTAACGTTCGGGCCTCCTTTAGCTAAAAGTATGAAGCATGAATATGGTGCTTTGGAATGTTGTATTGAAGTAGTGAAAGGTTTGAATCAAGCCATTGACCACATCCATAGCTATGGAAGTGGACATACTGATGTTATTGTAACAGAAAATAGTAGGTATTTTTGGCACAAATAGTATTGGAATTGAATTATTACTCTTTTTAGGTAACCGGGCCACAGATTTCCAAAGAAAAATTGACAGCGCCTGTGTGTTCCACAATGCCAGCTCTAGATTTGCTGATGGATTCAGATTCGGTTTGGGTGCTGAAGTTGGTATAAGTACTGCCAGAATCCATGCCAGAGGTCCTGTTGGTGTCGAGGGCTTGCTTACTACCAAATGGGTTTTGGATGGGGTAGACCATGCTGCTGCTGACTTTTCCGAAGATGGTGGTAGACAGTGGCTTCACGAGAGCTTACCATTAAATTAATTTTTTATTTAGTTGAAAAGGTATATGGTTGTAAAAAAACAAAATCATTAGGGATCAAATAATTTTTTTTTATTTGGTAGTATCTCTTGTTTTTTATATTTATTAAATATTTTTTAGTTAAGTTTTGAATTTGTTTAGTTCTAATGAATACCTAAGTACATAATATATTATTTTAAATTTAAATACATTGTTTTATTAAATGGATTGAGTAATTATTTTTTGTCTTAATTTAGAAAATAGAGAACAATCGAAAAGCAAATCCACGTAAACGAATTACCAACAGAAAGCATACTAGATGAACTTCCATCAGAATCTCCACTAACTACACCCAACCATTGTCCAACTAAGTTATCGATTTTTTCTCTAGCTGCTGTTAAAGCTGCTGAATCAGTCTCACTAGCTGCATGCATGTTCATACAATGAGCCGCTCCTAAAACAACAAAATTATAATACAATCTTCAATATAATTAAATTCTGACCATCAACAACGATAACATAATCATCAGCATCATTAGTCGTTTCTAACTTTCCAAGTACAGACCAAGGATCTGTAGTGCCATGGAAATAAACAATATTTTTTGTAGCGATGTTTGTAGCACCGTATCTATTATTGGTTGCAGTAATACCAAGTGATGTTAGGGTTTCATTAAATTGCTCTCCAAATACTACTACACAAAGGTCTGTGAAATAGCTTATAGGAAATCGGGACCCGAAAATTGGAAGTTCCTGAGTGGATGTTTGGAAATTTCCAAATTCAGTACATGTTTGGTAGACCCATTGACGCACTGAAACATTAAGCATTAGGTTTAAGTAGATTTGAAAAAAAAAGGTTAAATTACTCATAGAACTGGCTACTATGGTGGTATTCTGCCAACTAGCAACTAAACTAGCATATTTATAGTCTATACAATCTGTGTTTGTATAGTTTAGGATGAGGCTGTTTATTTGGGATAACTTTTGAAGATTGGTTGTGCCTAAAATTTTTATAGTGGGTCATATTTTTAATAAAAATATTTGAATTTGTATCACTTTCAGTGTCGCTGGTCATTACATCGCAGATAGTGTTTATAGATAAATTATTCAAAGTGCCATTATATTGTACCACAAAGGCAAAAATATTATCTGCCAGGTATTCAAAAAGTGTTGCTAAATCTTTCTCGTTACCTTCACTAGTTTCAATAGATTCACATAACTAAAATATACTAACTAGAATATGTTTTTATATATCAGAATTATACAGTCACTTGGAATAGTTCATCAATTTCTTGATAAATTGCAGCGTCTTCTAGACAATTAGATGTAAGTTCATCTAATTGAGCAAAGGCATCTTTAATATTAGCTATACAATCTAAACTATGTGTTGCTAAGCCATTTCTAACAACTTGAAGGTATTCTAGAAGAATATCTCGATTAAATTCAACTCAATCAAATTTTAACAAAGTTACCATTAAAATCCAAAACAGCTTCCAGAGGCCCACTAGAAGACACTGCTCCAGAAACAAGATGTGGATACTTGTGTCTCAACCAAGCAGCTAAAGTACCACCATAGGAACCTCCGAAAACAATCCATTTGGCTTCAGGTGTTGATAGATTGTACATAGTGTTAATGCCTTCGATGAAATTTGCTGCATCCTCTAATGCTTGATGAGCGGAGAGGTATTGAAGATTTGCTGTACTCAAATCACTAGAAAATTTAATGTTAATTTAAGTATAAGAAAGAAACTAATTTATTCAGTGTTAAGGCTGATCATCATATTGATACTTATAGGGGATTAGTGCGATGCAGCACAGTAAATTTTCGCTTCAGTAACTGTTTGCGCCTACGTTCTGCTCTGCTTAGATGAGAATTTTAGTTTTTTATTCCCTTGCTACTATACTTAGATAGAATATGGTTCCTGAGAAATGGACTTAAAATCCAAAACTGTAGGTACCTACTGTTTATATAGTTCACAGATTCATCCAAATTTTAGATTTATTTATTAAGAGGAGCAAATTTAGTCGGCAAATTCCCCGTTGTCTCCAAGAGTAGGCAGGGTAAAAACATTGTAACTCTAATTTAAATTAGAGATCGCTTCAAATCGTGTAAAATTCTGTCCAAAAAAAAAAAATATTTAGCCTTACAGTCACCTTAAGAAAACGAACGAAATCTGCATAGCTATGATAAATGCATTCGATATTGATGGAGCGATTTTTGATTATCAAGTTGTCTTATCAAGTACTCAAGTACGTGAAGTGATCGGAATTAAAGTCTGTTTTTTTTTTAAAGATAATTCCCCAAGTCAAAAATTTAGTAACTATGTTGGTAACGCAAGCCTTTTCTACATAAAAATTTGAAAGCATTGAAAATTTTACATTGTATTGCCAACATAATGTCACTTTGACTTTTATCTTAAAAAAAAAACACATTTTAGGTTTGATTTTTGAGTTATGATTGATTGATTTAGGTCTAAATATGACGTCACAGTCCATTCTATCGTTAGCCTTATGGAGCTGAAAAATCCTTAATCTCCAGTCTCTCACATTTTATTTTAGTTCGCACCATTTTGTTGGATTAAAGCTTTGTATCACATAAAATAAAGGCTCTGGTGGCCTTTGGCATCACGATTGTATTTGTGTTGTGAGTTGATCACGCAACGGGTGACATTATTTTAGTTTCTAATTGGACAGTTTGCCTCATTAATTAGAAGAGAGTCGTCTGTTGCGGGTTCCAGCCCACTATTTTAATACCTCGTAGCATTTTGCTGATAGCTAATGCCTGAATTGGGTACTTTGTGTTCTTCGTAGCTCGAGTGCTGACAGAAATCCAGGGACCATTGATTCCAAAATTAAAGTCCAACAATAATTTATTCCACGTTACTATACACTCACAGTCAATCTAAACTTAAAAACTAGTTACTAATAACGGCCTGTACTATGTATATCCGTAATCTATTCTTGCAAAATCCAGAATAAATGCGATAGACCTTTTTCCCGAAGAGCACTGTAAAAATCTAGAATTCTGTTATCCGATTCTGTATCTTTTGGAGGAGGCGCACATGAATTCCGTTACACTGCCCTCCTCTTAAGATTGATCGTCACGATCTACTTCAAGACCATAAAATTTCGTCAATTTGTCTAGATGTACAACTTTCATCTTACTCCTGGTGTTGCGCAGAGCTCGATAAACCAAATCATTCATCCTCTTGATTATTCTGTAGCTGTAGCCCATGCTGAAGACAATTTCAGCGACACTCCTTTTTTTCTTGCTGGATTATACAGCCACACTAAATCACCTTCTTGAAATCCGGCTGAATTGGCTTTCAAGTCGTATCTAGTCTTCATTCGGTCACTGGCGGCCAGATGAATATGCTCCCAAGTTAAATCGTGTATTCCCAGAAGGCGTACCCTTACTTCGTCGGCATAATCTCGAATCTCTTTTCGTTCTTCTTCAGGTATTCCAAACATCAGATCGCAAGGTAACCTGAACCAAAAATGATTCTAGTTGGACTTTCACCTGTTGACTCGTGGACAGCTGCTCTGTAAGGCATTAAAAGTAGAGGCAAGTGTTTGTCCCGAATTTGCTTGTTCTTTGCGACCAGTTTTGCCAGGAGGTGTTTATCTATGGTCCTATTAAATCGTGCTACCATGCCATCAGACTGTGGATATAAAGGTGTTGTCCTTGTCTTACGAATACCCATGATCTCACAAATTTTCTTAAAAATGGCAGAATCGAAGTTTCATCCCTGATCTGAACGCCACTCTAGTGGCACATCATGTCGACGGAAATCTACGTCCACTAGCACCTGGGCAATAGTGATGGCTTCTTCATTGGGAATAGCGAAAACTTCTGGCCATTTACTGAAGTAATCCATGATAACCAAGATGTATTTGTTACCACGCTCTGACTCGGGGAATGGTCCGGCAATATCTATCGCTATTCGTTCAAATGGGAGACAGACGTTGTACTGTTTCATGGGCCCCAGAGATCTTAGTTTAGGGCCTTTACTGGTAGCACAGATGTCACATTTTCGGCACCAGGTTTTAACGTCTTCATGATAGTGAGTGAAACGTTCCCGAATTTTGTCCAAAGTCTTGTTAACTCCGAAATGCGCCCCTGAACTTCCGTCGTGTATTTCTTTTATTACATCTTCTACTCGATCTTTTGGAATAACCAGTTGGCTCTTAGTGAATATTTCATCGGCACTTTCCCAAACTCTTTTAAGTAATCCATTTTCTAAGGCTAGAGAGTTCCACTGAGCCCACATTCCTTCGTTGAGTCGTTTCTGGAAATGTTGTAGTTTGTTCGTGATTCTGGCTTCTGTTTCGTTGAATTTTGTGAGGGCCGGGATCATAAACTTTGTTTGGTAGTTTGATGCTCCGATGAGTTCTTCCCTTCCTGATTGTTGTTCATTGCCTCGATATCTTGATATACTTCGTCATTCACTCCAAAAACCGCAGTCAAAAATGTTCCGAATAGTCCTATCTTAGTTCTGTGGTGAATGTCGGTCATGGTAGCAAATATCCATTTGGAGTGATTTTCCATTTCTTCTAGGTGTTGTATGAGGGATGTGCATTTGACTTCATCAGTGAGCTTCTTGGATTTGTTGCACATATTTTTGAATTGGCTGACGACTGTGGATACCTTTAATAATTCCGTCAGTTGCGTTTCAGTTTTGTTCTTAGGATACGTTGTCTCTATCCTAAAAATCCCTCTATCAATTTTTGCTGATCCAAGGTGTTCAACGTAAAAACCATGTTGTGGATAGTTGATTTTAAACCCTGTTTCTGCAGCGGCGGTTGTAATCATCATGGCTGCTAGGAAAAACAATACATATGATTTTGCTGATGTTGATACTACGTTCCGTAGTCGGTCTGATCTCCGTACCTCTGAGTGGTTTTGGGTGGTTGGTAAATGGTGTATGTCTTCTGTCGGTAATGGGATTAACTTGTGGATCGGTCTTTTTTGTGGTGAGCCACCTGCTTTCTTTATTGTTACCACTCGGATTGCTCCATCTTGTCCCTGGTGAGTTTCTATAATTCTCCCTAAAGGCCATTGGTTTGGGTTTATATTTTCTTCTTTGCTCAGGACCATTGTTCCTACTCGTAGATTGTTGGTCTGATTCTTCCATTTGTATCTTTGTTGCAGTCTGGTGAGGTATTCTGTGTACCATGCGCTCCAAATGATTTTCTTTAACTTTTGCACGTGTCTTCATCGTTGAGATAGATTAAAATGTTCTGTCGATTCTAAGTTTGGTGGTGCTAGAAGTTCTCTTCCTATGAGAAAGTGTCCTAGGGTCAAGATGTTGAAATCATCTACGTCTTCTGTTAGCGGGTAGAGTGGTCTTGAGTTCAAACATGCTTCGATTTGATACGCCAACGTTGTTAATTCTTCATAGGTCGAAGTGCAGTCTCCAATTACTCTCTTGAGATGGTGCTCCATAGATTTCACACCTGCCTCCCATATTCCTCCGAAATGTGGGGCTGCTGGTGGAATGAAGTGCCATTGTGTTCCTAAGTTGACGATTGTGTTTTGCACAGATTGTGATTGTATCAATTTTGTGATTTCATCTTCGAATAGGCGTGCTGCTCCAACAAATGTAGTTCCGTTATCACTGTACATATTCGCACAATGTCTCCTTCTGGCTGTGAAACGTCGAAGTGCTGCCAAGAATGCCTCTGTTGTCATGTCGCTGACTACTTCTAGGTGAATGGCTTTGGTTGCTAGGCATACGAATACTGCGATGTACCCTTTGTACGATTTGTGACCTCTTCCTTTTGTTGTTCTGACTTGAATCGGTCCGGCGTAGTCCACTCCTGCGTTTGTAAATGGTGGTGCTGGTGTTACTCTCGATTTCGGAAGTTGTCCCATGAGTTGCTGTGCGTTCTCGGCTTTGTGACGGATGCATACAATGCACTTATTTATAACTGCTTTGACGGCCCGCTTACCGTTGATGATCCAGAATCTGCTTCGTATGTACGACAATGTCGCTTGGTTGCCTCCTTGTAGCGTGGTCTTGTGTGCGTTTCTCACCACCAGCGTATGTGAGAATGGTATGGAAGAATCATCGGGTGTCGTTGGTCATAGGGAAGAGGTGAGTGTTCGAGTCTTCCTCCGACTCGGATAATGCCCTTGCTGTCAAGAAATGGGTTGAGGGACTGTAGCTTACTTTTCTTGTCAACTGCGTTCTGCTGTTGTAAAGACTTGTATTCTTCGGTAAACTCTTGCTGTTGGACTATTTTTATGATTCTTTGGAAAGTGTTTTGAACTTCTTGAGCGGATAGAGTAAGACTTTCCCCTTTTTTGATGAATCGACGGCAGTAGGATAATACCCTGAGCATCCTTGTTAAGTTTGTGACATGTGGCCTTCACTTCTTCTTGAATGTCGGGAATATTGTCTGTTGTGAGGATTTCACGGGAAAACGTCAGCCAATGAGGACCTTTCCACCACAGATCAGCTGATTGTAGTTTGTCTGGGTCCAATCCCCTGGATATGATGTCTGCTGGGTTTTCTTGGGGCTTGACGTGGTTCCAAGATGCTTGAGGGGCGTTTCTGTGTATTTCGCAAACTCTATTTGCCACAAAGGTTTTCCATCTCGTAGAGTCACCCTTTATTCAGGAAAGAGTGATCATGGAGTCGGTCCAAGCGAAGGTCTGGGTATCACCCATTTGAAGTGCTGTCTTAGTTTTTTGAATTAGTTTTGATA